TATCTATCTATCTATCTATCTATCTATCTATCTATCTATCTATCTATCTATCTATCTATCCTTCTTTTTTTCCCTGTTGCCATCATCTCAGTACATTGAATTGGAAAACTGTCTTCCACCAACCCCATTATATGCTGCTTCATATATATAAACTGAAACCTGATAGTTCTTTTTTCTTTCTTTCTAAATGCTTTCTGATTTTTAGGTTAATTGGCCTAGTGGTCTCCCTATAATTTTTCCTCAGTTAACTTCCATTACTTATGTTAAGATATTGAATTGCAGATCAGAGCATATTCTATAGGAGTGTAGTTTCTTCTCCATCCTTTTCCTATTCGATTTGAATCTCCCTCTTCAACATGTAAAACTTTGTCACAGTTTGATAATTTGTAAATGGTCACATCAATTCCGTTGACATTTTGATGTTTAGGTGTGGATTGATGTATTGTTTGGAGAAGTAGTTCTGTCACCTATCTTTTTTTTTTTAGAAGACCACTTGCTCCATTTCTATGGGAAAGTTTGTTAATCATCTATGTTTGTGATGCACGGATAGCACAATGAAATAGCCCTTACCCACAGCTTGGTTCTTCAAGTACCGCATTTTTCGCACTATAAGACGCACCTGACCATAAGATGCACCTAGGTTTAGAGGAGGAAAACAAGAAAAAAAAATATCAGGCAGAACCTGAGAGGACCACAATAAGTGTCTTCTCATGTGCCAGCTCTGCCTATTGACTTCTTTGAAAAGAGACAGAAGAGGCAGGGTTCAGCACTGTAAAAGGACCCTGCTTCCGCGGCTTGGCTGTTATTCACCAAAGGACCAGCACCGACCCACAGACATTTCTACCAACTTTTTTTTTTGGGGGGGGGGGAGTGCATCTTATGGAGTGAAAAATACTGTAATTACATTATTTGTATTATCCAAGATGATTCCCTCTGTATATTTCTATTTACACCGGTAACTAGGTATGACTGAGAGAAGGGAGCCATTCCCAGGAGCAGGCAGTATAGAATGCATCTCCTGCCAAAAATGTCTTTGGCTATAGAAGGTTCTAAATGAGGGTTCTGGATAAGTGTATTCCCTATAATTCTAAATGTACAGAGGTTACAGCAATGACTATTTGTTCTACAGTTGGTCAGTTATAGACAATTAAATCTAAGACCAGTAAACCCTTTTTTTTTTTTTAAATGCATTCTCCTTAGTGACTCTGAAATACTGAATTCTGAAAGCCTGGACACAAGAGCAGTATGCCATATTTTACTGACAAAAAGAAATGAACAGCAAGAACAAAATAAGACTGAGAATAATAAAATAACCCCAAGCAGCATGTGTTTAGAAAATGAAAGCAAATTATGTCAGAAGAAGGTAAGATTTAAGTTACTTCAATACATTCACTTGTGCTGCTTTTTTAATGCCACTGACAAATATTTAAATGTAACTGAATAACATTGTCTATTATATTTGTGAAAACTGACCTATATTTCATTTTGCAATAGTATATGTCACATACATACCATTGTGTTATTTCCTGAGTGAGCACCATTATGGAAACAGAAGAAAATTAAGTAATTAGCAAAACAAATGGGGAAAAAGAAAAAAGTAAGAGAAAACAATGAAATGTATATTACATAAATTCATTTATATTTTTGAAAACCAGTCAGGATGCCATCTTTTCTATACAACACTTTATACAGACCTTTTATTCTTTAAAGTTTTTACTTACCTCTTTTTGAAGTACTCATGTACATTTCTCATACCCTTTCAGGTACATTTAATGTTCTCATTCCCCTGTAATTTTTGCTTTTGTACAAAGGGACGATAACAAGATCCATCCAATTGTCAGACACAGAAGAAAATCTTTACTTGTGTCAAACAAAATATGGATTTATTAAGCCAGTGGTTCTCAACTGGTGGGGGAAGCGATGTCATCACGGGTGATGGTAGTCCATCAAGGTTTGAAGAAATGTTATGATTTAAATCTTGAGTTAAGTTTTGGTGGCCCATAGCCATGGTCTGTGGCCACAAAAGGTTTTTATGGTGTCCATAGTGAAGAAAAGATTGAGAACCACTGTACTAAGTATATTGCATACATATTTTATCATTTTTTCCAATGATAAATTGGTCCCATCTGTAGGATGCTGCAGCCTTATCATTTTCAGTTAATATGTTATTAGTACTCTACCCTGAATTAAGGGATTAAAGAGTTGTAAAAAGGGAGAATTTTTTAAAATATTAATGCCTATTGTTTCTTTGTTTTAATTTTGTTTCTATGGTTTTTAAGTTTTTAATAATAATAACAATGATAATTGTTTTAGATATTTATTAATTCTTTCAGCTTTGCTTTATTCTGTCCGGATTCACTTATTTTGTGAGATGGACAGCTATTTAAATTGGATTAACTAATTAACAAACAAACAAACAGAAAATTCTCTTTCTACCTGACAACGTTCTGATGCAAATGTCTGTTCAGATATTGAAACACATATTTGATTAAATATTTAGACAGATTAAGGAAAGTCAAGCTTAAGCATTGTAATGAAAAAGTAGTATTCTAGAACAGTGGTCCTTAAATTAAAGGTAATCACTCCAAGAGAATAATTTGGGTGTAGTCTAGGGATAATGGAGCACATTGTAATCAATTGATTGTGAGTCGAGGATCTAATTTGGGACAGTCCCTGCTGTGATGGTTTCTCTGGTTTTGGGTGTGGGTTACACACACACACACACACACACACACACAGACAGTGTATGTGTTTATGGAAACATGTAAATCCTATGAATATAATAATTTTTCTTGTGTTTGTAGAAAAACAAAGGTGAACTAATAATGACTTTCCCAAGGAAAAAGATTCTAAATTCAGCGTTCAATCCTTACAAAGGTAAGAATGCATAAAATCTTTTGTAATAGCAAAATTACATTTACATTTCTGGATAGATAGCATCTGGATCGAGAGTAGTCAGCAATATAGCTCACAAATATCTAAAATAAAACAGATGCACCAGGATCATTATAATTTAAAGAAAAAAAATTTACTCTTCTCTGAGAAAGAGCAAGAAAATGATATCTTTTCATTAAGGAAATTTGATTTCATATTCCCTTATAGTAAAAAAAATGCAGTTTAACTATAATAGAATCCAAGTTTGTCAGTGTCGTCCCCCGCTCTTTTTTATTTAAAAAACAATCTAAAAAGCCAATTGATTGCTTATATATTTCCTCCTTCCCTCTCTAATCCCTAGTAGTCAGAATTTTGAGACCAATTTCTTCAGTGTGCACTAGCAGGGGTTTCAACGTAACACCAGCTGGATCAAACAGACAGTGTACTGTGGCTTAAAAAGTGCCAAATTGAGACGCTGTATTTCAAACCTCTCTAACAACATCAGAGAGGATAGATCAACTGAACACATCAATAAGTAAAAAGAATTTCCTTAAAGTGGGATGGACTAGTTGCTGAGAGCATACCTGCTTTTATGCTTCTTAACCTTGTCTTAATATGAGGAGGTATTTTTCTCTGCTGCCTTTATATATTCTCAAAGCGATTTCCTTCATTACTGCAGACTTTATGGGCTATGCTCCTCACTCAGGGTAGAAAGCAGATTTTTTTAAGACTGCAAAAAGTATTCTAACCTTTTTGAAATCTTAAAATTATAAAAAAAATAATTGTTGATTATTATTATTACTACAGTATATACATCAAAATGTGAAGTCACAGCTGCCCGTTTTTTTAGCCCTTCATATGCATCAAATTCTTCCTCTAAACTAGAATACCTTAATGGATTGGCATAGTATATCTATGGATCCAAACACTGTAGCCTTTTTTAATTGATAGATGGAAATTTTGCCCATGCTCATTTTCTAAGCGCTGTCCAAGATTTTGCAGTATGGTATCCAATGTACTGATAACCTCTGGGACCATTTGTACAGTCAGCCAGATGTTTATACTGGATTTGGCATTTTTGTCCGTCTGCTGAGCCCTTCCCAAGGACCTGGGCCAGGCAGATATAGTTGTTTAATATTAAATAAAAGCATGTGTTTCATTCTTCTTAAAATTTAATATCTTACTTCAGCCTACTTCATCTTTTAGAAGAAGGCTTGGAAGGCTAGAATTTTTTGGGAGTTTCAGGTAAGAGTTTTCACTAGGAGACTACAAAAATACAGAGTACTAATAACATAGTTTGCAATGTAGTTACTTGTTTGTCTCTGATTATGCTTGGAAGCATAGCTAATATAGCCTGGATAATATGATTAAGAAGAGCAAGTCATATAAATGAAGCAAGTATACCATTTTGGCCAGCAAAATATAATGTTCTTGCAATTTTGGCATCAAGGCATATGAACATACACCCTTGCAACTGTACAGTATATATTGTGTTTCGTTGCAAGAAAAGCTTGGGTTTGGTTCAATTGGATGTTTTGCAGAAAATCTTTTGCAACAACCAAAAAAAAAAAGCCATTTCTTTGAAACTAACACATTTGAAGTGTCAGATTAATAATTGATCAATATTAAACTTGTTTAGTTAACAGAGAGAGGATAAGAAGTATCATGATCCAGAAACCTGGCTCCTCCGTGTCACTTTGGGGACGCATCACATCTTTACAGCAGCAGTTAGCTGTAGTACAGAAATCAAAAAGAACAGCAGTATCATCTCTCAAGAAGTCCAGAGAAGCAAATAAAAAATTAACATCCCAGTTGCATCTAACCAAACAGCAACTTCAGGCCAGCAAGCAAACTGCTCAGGTAAAAGTTTATTGTAGTTTTGATATGACAAAAATCTAATGTTTAGTGATTAAATGTGCAGGATTGTAATTGTAAGCCTATGAGTTCCAAACAAAGTTGCATATCACCCTGAAATTGGACATATTATTTACTGAAATCATGCAGATGATTCACAAATCTGTCTGAAAAGATCAGGATGATGCATGATGCTTTTGAATACTACGTGGCAAGATATGAAGATGACAGGGCTGTAATTGGTTCGTTTCTCAAGCGATACATATTTTGCTCCAAATGATTTATTTTCCTGGATCAGTTTTATGAAAATAAAAATGGCAGCTATGGAGACAAGGTTCTCCTGATAATTGATGTAAAGAATTACATCAAATCTACTGAAATTCTGAACTGCTGTAGATTATACACAAAGGACCACTGAAATGTCTGAATGCATTTATAATTATGGTACTTGTCGTGACTTTAGAAGGCAAAAATATTTTCATAAAAGATCAGCATTTTGTTCACTGGTCTGTTTGCATTTTTTCCCCCTGGTTAACCCCAACAGCTCATAAAGATACATTATTTTTTATATAATCATGTGCTATAACATGGAATCAAGCAAGTGCACTTATACATCTCCACTTTCAAATATAATTGGAATTGTGTCTTGGCCTTTGCTTTTAAACACATAGTCAGATTTAGTAACACTCTAAATGCCCTTTTGAAACACACATTTATTGGTAGTTTAGAAAGCCGTAGTCCAGTCAAAAAGACTTTCTATGTAGGAGCTGATTTCTACATAATAGCAGCAAGGTTAATGTAGCTGGATGCCCACATTGCATTGATCATCCAGGACCCAATAAATGGATATACACTTCCCTCCATGCAAGTAGGAATTTGCATACCAATAGAGGTCTGTGACATTCATGCAAATAATTAATTAGCTAAAATAGAACTTGGGTCAAAAATAAATACAGACAGACTAGTTATGTATGAAGTGCCTTTCCCCGAATTGAATTGAAGGGCTCGTCTTACTTCATTGATTCTGAAAGATTAACTTTACGTTAATTGATAAGAATAGAAAAGAGATGTGTTATGTTCCTTCCCGCTTCAAACGTTCTACCATCTTCCCAGTGCCAAAGAAGCCCTCCATCAAGGAACTGAACGACTACAGACCAGCTGCTCTAACATCTGTAGTTAGGAAATCTTTGAAAGGCTTGGGCTGTTCCACCTGAAAACCATCATGGATCCGCTGTTAGATCCCATGCAATTTGCATACTGAGCAAATAGATTGATAGATGATGTTGTTAACATACCTCTGCATTACATCCTACAACACCTTGAATCTCCAAATACCTACGTAAGGGTCCTCTTTGTGGACTTCAGTTCAGCATTTAATACCGTCATTCCAGACACTCTTCTAAGTAAATTAAACCAACTAGCGGTACTTGAACACACTTGTAAGTGGATCATAAGCTTCCTAACAGACAGGAAGCAGCAGGTGAAGCTAGGAGGAATCACATCCGATACCTGTACAACAGCACAGGGGACCCCCAAGGCTGTGTGCTATCTCCACTTCTCTTCTCCCTATATACCAATGACTGCATCTCAAACGATCCATCTGTTAAAATACTGAAGTTTGCTGATGACACAACAGTGATTGGTCTCATTCGAGACAACAATGAATCTGCATACAGACAGGAGGTTATACAACTTGCCTCGTGGTGTAACCGGAACAATCTGGAACTGAACACACTCAAAACCCTAGAAATGGTGGTAGACTTTAGAAGAAACCCTCCTATACTACCACCTCTTACAATACTAGACAACACAGTATCAACAGTAGAGACCTTCAAGTTTCTAGGTTCTACTGTATCACATGATCTAAAATGGACACCTAACATCAAAAATGTCATCAAAAAAGCACAACAAAGAATGTTCTTTCTGCGCCAACTCAGAAAGTTCAAACTGCCCAAGGAGCTGCTGATACAATTCTACAAAGGAATTATTGAGACTATCATCTGCACCTCTATAATTGTCTGGTTTGGTTCTGCAACCCAACAGGACAGACACAGACTTTAGAGGATAATTAGGACTGCAGAAAAAACAATTACTTACTCACCTGCCTTCAATTGAAGACCTGCATACTGCACGAGTCAAAGAGGGCTGTGAAAATATTTACAGGCCCCTCACATCTCAGACATAAACTGTTTCAACTCCTTCCCTCAAAACGATGCTATAGAGTACTGCACACCAAAACAACTAGACACAAGAACAGTTATCACTCTGCTAAACAAATAATTCCCTCAACACTGTTCAACTATTTACAAAGTGTACACTACTATTACTGTTAATCTTCTCACCACTCCTTTTCACCCATCCCCTCCCACTTGACTTTTCCTAGTATGATTTGATTGTTGATTGTACCTTATGACTATCATTAAGTGTTGTAGGTTATGATTCTTGATTCTTAATGAACGTATCTTTCCTTTATATATGCTGAGAGTATTTACACGAAGACAAATTCCTTGTGTGTCCAATCACACTTGGCCAATAAAGTATTCTATTCTATTCTATTCTAGAAAAAAAAATCTGTAGAAAGCAAAGGAATAAGCAAGAGATATAAGTGATTACAAACATTGCTACTTTTTAAAAACTTGTGTAACTTTGAAGAATCACTTTAGAATCAGTCATTGCTTAGCTAAGTAATCTGGCCAATTAATTATTTAATCCTTAACACCTAAATAAGATTTTTCTCTTTTTTTATTTTCTTCCCTGGACATACCACTTCTCTTCTTTCTTCTCTCTCCTGTTTTATTCCTCTTTTTTGGCTGTTCCTTCTGAATGGAGGAAGCAGAATGTGTACATTTGTCTGTAATAGTAATTATGTGTTAATATATGAGAATATTTGCTTGTGAGAGAGAATATTTGCTACATGTAGATGCAAGATCAGCTGATTCTATAAATATAGTAAGCTTTTCTTTAGTAGCAAATAATATTAATCAGCAGTTATTCACTAATTATGTTTTTTGTCTTGGATCTTCCTGTTTTGGAGTATTGTTTCTGGCATATATATGATACATTATACAAAAATAATATAACATATTTTTTTCTTTGCTGGTATTACTAATTCATAAAAAGATAAGAAACATTAATGATGTTCAAAAAAAGTAAATAATATAAAGCAGATGTGAGAATCCAGGCAAAATATCTATAAATAAGTGTCAATTCTGATTTTTTTTTCTCAGCATCCTTTTTAACTGGGGTGCTATAAGATTTGACTTTTTCTCTCCTTTTGTTTAATATCTACCTGAAATTTCTGGGGAACCTCATAGTTTGGGATCAGGTATGATCAATATGCTGATGATATCCTGTGATGCATTCTGACCTTGGACCAACAAACAGATGCATTGAAGACCTGCCCAAGTGCCTGGAAGCTAGGCAGGTTTGAATGGAAAGGAATATACTCAGATTCTGTCCTGATAAGACAAAATGGCAGCTTGTTTGATCCCCTCATCCCCACCCACAGTTCTCAGGACATTCCATCTTTAGTCTTTAATGGGGTTGCACTTCCCCATGTGAAACTAGTGTATAATCTAGAATACTCTTGGACTCACCGCTTCTGTGATAGCAGCTGTGACCAAGGAGCACTTTGCACAGATTCATCTGGTACGCCAGTTGTGACCCTTGTTGGATAAGGAGATCCCTAAGACAGTCACTCAAGCCTACATGTAATTTCCCAGTCTTGAAGAAGACTGGGAAATTACAACTGGTCCAGAGCAGCATTGCAGGAATGCAGTGTTACAGGAAGTGTGCCATGATTCGAGCACATACTACACCCCTACTATTTTTCAAACTACATTAGTTATCGGTTGACTTCTGGCTGCAATTCTGGCTGCAATTCAAGGTCCTGGTTATCACTATAATGCCCTTCACCGCTACATGAAGGAATGCTTTTTTCCATATTTTTTCACTGGTCTAGTGAGACCAGCTGGAGTGGAGACACTTCAGATCCCATCAATCAAGTAGGCCTCATCACTTTGTGGGCCTCATGAAACACGTTCCTGCACTGTGGAATGCTATCCCTCTGGAGATCTGCACTTCCCTTATCCTTTTCCACAAATTGTTAAAGACCAAATTAAACTCCTTTGATTGCTGTTTCTTTCTTTCTTTTAGTTAGGGAAAACCTAATATTTTCCATTTTTTGTCTCTGAAGTATGTTTTCTCTTTAATTTTTTTTCAGTAAGCTGTATTTTTGTCTCTGAAGTATGTTTTCTTTTTAATTTTTTAAAGGTGAACTGCACAGAACAGTTTGTGTGACCTCAAAGCTGAAATTATAAATAAAATTTGGCTTTCAAATATTTATATATTTTTTATTATTATTTGTGCCTTCGGGTTGTGTTGATTCCTGACAACTATGTATACTAATCTCTGCAGTTGTGATACCTTAATAATGCTACCACAAGATTAATCTATCCTTTAAAATAGGCAGTAGCTGTTGTCCAGTAGCAATTAGGGAGATTAAAAAAAACTGCAGATATAAAATGTAGGCATTTAAGGAAGAAAACTTGTTTTTCTGAAACTATTGCTCAGAAGAAATTGATTTAGATACTGAATAGTTTAATCGTTCATGAACAACTGCAGGTATTTTCATGTACTATGTTTCTCATGATATAAGAAATGCTATACTGTATGATCTTTGGCATCTCTGAAATACAGAGAAGGATAGAATAGAAACAAAAATAAAGACTGAATTGATTCCAAAAAGTTTAAAATTGAAATGCTAGTAGCTTTACAGAATTTTGTTCCACATAATAACATATAATAACACTACATTCATGTAACATTATCCTTATGTAATATAATAGCTCAACTTTGTAAATGTTGATACATATAGAGAAAAACTTTGATTAAATAGAGATAAAGAAAATAGTCTCTTAACTGACAGATATTTATGCAGTCACACTTGCCAAATGCTCTAGTAGTATGAGATTTATTTTCAATTTAAGAGAACTTAGATGTTCTAG